GGTGTGGGGGGTGTGGGGGGCTCCGGCAGCAGGGGAGGGCCTGGTGCCATGTGCCAGAGCCAGAGCAGGGGGCTTCTGCTGTGGTTCCTGCTGTGTCACCGGGGCTCCTGCTGCGATTCCTCCCAGCTGCCACCGACTGCAGCAGCTACTTCAAGCTGGGGGTGAAGGGCACCACGTTCCAGAAGTGTGAGCACACATCCCTGTGCTACGCGCCCAGCTGGGTGTGCGACGGCGCCAACGACTGCGGAGATTACTCGGACGAGCGCAACTGCCCCGGTGAGAGCGGGAGGGCAGAGGGGGGCTGGGGGCAGGGATGCCCCTTTGGGGTCTACTTGGGCTGTGGAGGCTTTGTTTGGCACTCCTGTCCTCGGCCCGTGTGGCTCCAGCACAGATGGTGCTGCAGGGGTCTGGGATGTGGGACCTCAGGGGGGTTTTGGGGAAGAATTCTTCAGTTCTGGGCTGGGAGCAGGCAGGACGTGGCCGTGCTTTCATCCTCACTGATGTTTCCGTCACAAAGTAGGTGGGAGGAAGCCCAAATGTCCGTCCAACTACTTTGCCTGCCCGAGCGGGAGGTGCATCCCCATGACCTGGACCTGTGACAAGGAGGACGACTGCGAGAACGGCGAAGATGAGGCCCAGTGCAGTGAGCGGCAGGGTGGGCACACTCAGGATTTGGGCCAGGGCACAGGGCGGTGCTGGAGGCTGGGCAGGACCCTCTTCTCTCCCTGACATCCATTTGCCAAGGACAGACCCCGAATTATTCCTCCTCCGTGGTTTTACTCCACACTCTTGGGAGTGCTGTGACCAGTATAAGCGTCCTCGTGTGCTGGTTTGCTCAGCACATGCACAAGTGTCTGTCACCCATAATGGGACCAGTTATGGCTCCTTTCAGTTCCATTTTTAGTTCTAACCTCCTGGAATAAGCTCCAGACAGTGCTCAGGAGCTGGGGATCTTCCCCAGGTCCAGGAGCAGGGAGTCCTACACCAGGCCTGTGGGACCACGAGCAGTACCCCCAACACCCCCCTGGGCTCCTGGAGCCTGGCCCAGCCTGGCTGTGCTCTGCTGGGGTCTCCTCCCCTTATCACCTCACTCTGACCCCCATCTCCTCCTCTCCCTCTCTCCCAGACAAGTTCTGCTACCCTGTGCAGTTCGAGTGCAACAACCACCGCTGCATCTCCAAGCTGTGGGTGTGTGATGGTGCCGATGACTGTGGGGATGGCTCTGACGAGGACAGTCGCTGCCGTGAGTCTGCTCCAGCCCTTCTCCCCATCTCTGCCCGCTCCATCACCGTGTTCTGCATCCCTGTTCCTGCCTCTGCCCATCCCTTCTCCCACCCCTGGTCTCACCACTCTCCTGGGCTCTGTATCCTGGGGCTCCCCAGAGCCTCCAGCACTGGGGTGACCGGGCTCCATCCTGCTCCTCCCTTCCCCAGGGCTGACCACCTGCAGCTCAGGATCCTTCCAGTGCCCGGGCACCTACGTGTGCGTGCCGGAGCGCTGGCTCTGTGACGGGGACAAGGACTGCGCGGATGGGGCCGATGAGACCCTCGCTGCCGGCTGCTGTGAGTGCCCGAGGCCAGGGGGCTGGGGGCAGGGATGCCCCTTTGGGGTCTACTTGGGCTGTGGAGGCTTTGTTTGGCACTCCTGTCCTCGGCCCGTGTGGCTCCAGCACAGATGGTGCTGCAGGGGTCTGGGATGTGGGACCTCAGGGGGGTTTTGGGGAAGAATTCTTCAGTTCTGGGCTGGGAGCAGGCAGGACGTGGCCGTGCTTTCATCCTCACTGATGTTTCCGTCACAAAGTAGGTGGGAGGAAGCCCAAATGTCCGTCCAACTACTTTGCCTGCCCGAGCGGGAGGTGCATCCCCATGACCTGGACCTGTGACAAGGAGGACGACTGCGAGAACGGCGAAGATGAGGCCCAGTGCAGTGAGCGGCAGGGTGGGCACACTCAGGATTTGGGCCAGGGCACAGGGCGGTGCTGGAGGCTGGGCAGGACCCTCTTCTCTCCCTGACATCCATTTGCCAAGGACAGACCCCGAATTATTCCTCCTCCGTGGTTTTACTCCACACTCTTGGGAGTGCTGTGACCAGTATAAGCGTCCTCGTGTGCTGGTTTGCTCAGCACATGCACAAGTGTCTGTCACCCATAATGGGACCAGTTATGGCTCCTTTCAGTTCCATTTTTAGTTCTAACCTCCTGGAATAAGCTCCAGACAGTGCTCAGGA